CTTTCCACAATAAATTTCGCAACTTTGGACCTTCATAAAACCTCAAATCTTAGGAAAAATAATTAATACATAAACATTCATAGTTTGCTTTAGGCACGATTAATAAATCATCGTGGCCATGGGTACGGTTTCCGTGGCATGATCACGATACGTAAATCCCAACTCAAGTGCACATTTCACGCGACTTGACCATAACTTCAAATAATAATAATAAATATGTTGTAAATCGCGGGTGCGTTTCACGTGGCGTGGTTTGCAATGTGTACTAAAACGACAAGTGTACGACATCATAACCTGTTCAAGAAATAACTACATGAATACTAAAAAACGTTTAAATATATAATTAAAAGCGGTCAAAGGTAAAATGCACAATATGTTTAAAATATGTAATAATTCAGATGATTAAGCCAAGTATTAATTGTTAAGCGACCGTGTTAAAATCGCGGAACTCGGGAGTGCCTCACAACTTCTCCCGAGTTAACAGAATTCCTTACCCGATCTTCTGTGTTCGCGGACCATAAATAGAGTCAATTTTCTCGATTTGAGATTTTAAAATAAATCGGTGACTTGGGACACCATAATAGTTATTCCAAGTGGCGACTCTAATTAAATAAATAATCTCATTTCGAATAATGTCACTTTAGTTGAAAAACTCTCATATCCCCTAAAAAAAAAAAAAGGAGGTGGCAGAGATCAAAACATTCATGTTTTAAGCAAATTTCAATTTTAATTTTTCATTTTACTCTGAGTCTCTCGCAAACCCCAGAAACTCTTACAAACAACAGAGTTGAAAAAGGTGTTGTATAAGGTTGTGTACTTACCAGTACTAAATGTTAGTAATCTGTACTCTAAACCAAAAAATCAGAGAAGTAAAGAAATATTAGTTCAATATATAAAATAATTTTTGAGCCCACGAGTTGTTTGTGTGTCCTTAAGGAATTTAATCTCCTCACCGTTGTCCAAGGTTATGAATTACTTCCTCCCAGGATATAATACGGAAAGACTATTCTGTAATACGGGCAATTGAAATTACAAACCTTCGTTTATTTGGAAAAAACAATGCAACAACGTAGAAAATAGAGGAGAAGTTTTCAGATTTTCCTTATATGAAAATTGAGGCTCTAAATTTATAGACAACGAAAATGTGAGACGAAAATGTACAATTGAAAAGGTACCTCTTACATTTCCTATTCACCATTCACGAAACTTAACACTAAATACTGCGTAATAATTATTCCCATAGATTAAGATGAGTCTATAATTTATTACTTCCCCGTAGTCAAATTTAAGTTGGCATGATATTTGAACATATAAATAGACCAAAGATTTGAAGTTTATGAATTCTAAATTTACCACCAAACCCATAAAAAAACGTGAAATTTTGCCGAACCACAAACCGGCTTTCCCAGACTCATCTCGCCGGTGAAATTCTATTATCTGTCCTACCTTGCGTTGGATCCGCCATTGGTAGTGACCCAAACAGTGGTGGATCTGCATAGAGCATTATGGGTGCTTGAGCACCCATTGTCTTTGACTAGATCTAGTAGATTTACATAGGCAAATAACAAAAAACTTAGATAAATATTGAGTAAGCACCCACAACTAAATTTGTTTTCCCTCTTCTTATGTCCGAATACCCACGACTTTAAAATCTTGGATTCGCCGTCAAACCCAAAGCCGGGCATAGTAGGGTAGGGGACAATGTGTTATCCTTTGATGGCTTCGTCAATTCTCTATTTGACTCTTTGCAAATGAACCTGGAGAGTACTACATGTGGACCATACACTTTAAATGTATGATTCTTTTTCCTATAAGAAGAAAAGTAAGGGAAAACATCTGACGATAAGTACTCATTCTATCACTAAAACTCTGTTACTTGATTAGTCTTCAATATTTTTCAGAGAAATACAAGAAATTGTTGAAGATATAGAATTCTATGGAGATGAAAAGTTCAACAGTGGGAGGTGATGATAACAAGTTTTCATGTAAAAGTGTAAGAGAGTACATTAAAGAGCAAAAGGGTAGGCTGTTTATAATCCGAAGATGTATTGTTATGCTTCTTTGCTGGCATGATTAGAAGAGCTTACCACTGCATTGGCCATTTGTTATTAGTATATATTCACAGTCAATTTGGGAAAATTTTATCTACTTCTCAAAGACTACAAGTTAGAGACTACTCGTTTCCTAAGTTTTACATCTTTATAATTTTGTAAAGCCTTTGCTTCTCCTTTTCTCCTTTCTTTTATTTATCTTTTCACATACAAAGAAAGAGCAAATTGTTTGAACTATCAAATAATAGAAGCTCCTGTGTTTGCTAACAGGGAAAGGACATTTGATGCATCTGATTCAACTCTTGGTCTACCCTCTCTTTCAGCGTAGGAGCGCCAACGGAGTTAGGATAAGAAGCTTATTAATTTGGGATTTTAGTCGTTATTGGATTCTAAATTAATAATTCGTACATGTTCAACCAACTTTTTAAGACAAATATAAAGTTTAGACAAAAGTTATTGGATTCGATCGAACCCGTTACCTACCCACTAGCTCCCCCTTGAGCTAATCTCTGTTTGGAGTTCAAAACAAGAATTTAAATTTTCCCCTTTTAAAAGTTTGTTCCACCTTCTACTTTTTTTTAAATTAACATACAATAAGAATTAGGTCACAGTTTCAAACAAATTGAGATCGGTTATATGAATCCTCTCATAAATTGACTAGTTTTAGGCGTACCTGTCACAACTCTATTACTTTATCTGGCTTCAACCCCACCCCCCCCCCCCCCCCCCCAAAAAAAAAGAATAATAATGGTGGAATTATTCTCTAGAACAAACGCTAATAGCCTGAGATTAAATGGAGTAGTTCGGTTGCCAGAACTTCAATGCCCTTTATTAATTCCTGTAGTTGGTAGAAAACGCATGAACTGAAACAGCTGTGCTGGCATAACTAATTCATATTATTATGTACACACATACTAATTCTGATGTTTTGGTTGAGAACGTGATATATATGAACTGAAAGTAGTAGGCTGGTCACACTATTTTAGTTGGAAGAGCATAATCTTCCATCTAATCTGTTCCCTTTTATTCACTTATATAAGTCGTTCATATACCATTATAAGTATATTATTTGCTTTCACTCGGAATCATTAGCAGACACGAGGTCTCAAAAAATTGTTGGTTACATCTGTTACACGGGTAGCACTGAATCCATTGTCAGCTATTTGTACGATCGACTAGAAAGGCTCACCAATTGAAAGTTTGCGAGGAAAATGTAAACACAGGCAACAGAAATTTTTTGAATATCATCTATCTTGATATTCATAAACTACTGTCAATTGTATGTATTCTATTGTCCGTGTTTACATATTTCCTTACAAACATCTCAATATTGAGTCTTGGTATATTTCAGCTAATACAAATAGTTATAGGTAGCAGCCCTCTATGAGTTCAGTGCTACCCTTGTAAGATATGTCCCAACAATCTCATACTCCTTACTTGTTGTATAGGACAAAATCCGCCCTAGAATATTTAGGGTGATATAGCATCAAGGAAAGAGTCAGCCGAAATGGGAGCAGCAAGATTCGTGGTCGAGATGTCAATAATGACTGAGGTCGAGCACCGTAGATAGAGCAGTAACGGTTAGTTTTTGAAATATTCTAGTGAATATTCTCTACACTTATACTATTAGGTTTTGCTAGAGATATGTCTCAAATAAATAATGAAATAGAGAAGGAAAAAGGCATGTAATATTCACTTGATAAGAAAATTTTCAGAAGAAGATTCTCTCTCTTGTAAAGATACAAAAACTACCTTTTTATCAAGATTCTTACCCATATTATTCCACACTTTTACACCAGATCCGAGAATAGTTCGAACAAATTTTGGATTTATCTGTCATTCGTCATTGTCAGGAGGAACATTCGTCCAATCCATCCTTTATTGGGTGAATCATTCCTCCTATTTACTTAAATGTCATTTATTGCTAGTTATATTTCCATTATTACTCATTTTTATTAACGTTTTGTGTCTATCATTGTCAACATTTCACTGGATCTATCCCTTCTCACACGTTTTTAAGATTCGCATCTAGAGTTATTATCACTAACTAGATTTAACCCGTTATTGTATAAATTTAATAGTTTAGCCGAAAGTTATACTTTTTGGTCAAACACTTGTCACATTATAATTTTGCAATGTTAGGTTGTTTGTAGCAACTTCACCCTACTATCTCTGCACTTTCTGTGAGATTTGAAGTGCTGGATTGGTTGTATATCAATTTTTTGTGTATAGAACCGTGATTTACTGGAATGATGACCTTTTTTAATAGAGAAAGCATGTTGACATTCTGAATTCTGCAGTTAATGTTGTCGAGGATTCTGCTTCTGCTGTTTTTGACCTACATTCCTGCAGTAAAACAGACTAAAATCAGAGGAATGGTTGTGGACCTGTGCTACAAGAGATTTTTTCAACTTATATTGTCCACATATTTTAACATGTTTGGTTTACAAACTATAATACTATTAGAATACTCTGCTGGTCTGCTATTTTTATGAGAGCCACCGGCATCCCTGATGTCTCCTTTTTCATTTTTGGTTTCTGTCAACGATAGTTTCAGTTGATAATGGTCTATAACTCGATGCTGCTTAATCTCTTAAATCTACATATACATGTGAGAGAAAAGAAAATGAATCAAATTCATTGATTGCAAACAACAAATGAGAAGCTGAAAGTGGTAATTTCTCCCATTGCATGTCCATCTATATAGAAGAGTCTCTATGTATGTGTGTGCGTGTGACATTCTGTTGACGATAATGTTGGAAGTCAAGACATTTAAGACTTGAAATGCCGAAAAATCAAAAAGTAGAAGAGAGAAAAATCAAGAAAGTGCATGATTCATGAGACCACTAATTTGTAACAAAACAATAAAAAAGGACAAAGTTCTGCTATTGCTTTTCTCTCTATAATAATATAACCATGTCATGTTAACAGAGGTTCAGTTTCAATCACTTCTTAGAAACTGCAAAACCAATGATTATTCAGTGGAAAATGACTGAACATGGTCAACAAGCATCTACCGTCTAGTATTTACAAATTGCTCAATTTAGGTCATAGTAAAGACTTAATACTAAGATCATTTTTGACATTTAGAAACATATCATGAGTCTTTCAAAATCCACATTCCATGTGAAAGCTCAAAATCATCTTGACTCTGAAAGTGTGGCATTTACTGATGGTGCATGAGTGAAGGGGAGCCTTGGCGTAACTGGTAAAGTTGCTGTCATGTGACCAGGAGGTCACGGGTTCAAGCCGTGGAAACAACAACGTAAGGCTGCATACAGGGTAAGGCTGCGTACGAAGACCCTTGTGATCCGCCCCTTACCCGGATCCCGCACATAGCAGGAGCTTACTGCACCGGGTTGTCCTTTTATTGATGGTGCATGGGCGGAGGAGGATGTGGCGGCATGTGATATCCAACTGGAAGAACATAATGTGGATGATGTCCGGGAGGAAGCATGACCGGTGTTCCGACTGCTGACACGTGGCTGCTCGGTGGAGCAGCCACCGGATGACCCATCGGAGCACCATACATACCCAAACCATGCATATTGGGCTGGTTTCTTTGCCCGACACTGGGTCCAACTGCATTTGATGGGCTTGGATTGGTTTGTTGGCCTGTTATAGGGGTCTGATTTGTAGCAACCTCTCCATTGTTGACACTTGTAATGTCATGTATGCTGGATCTTCTCCTATCTCTATTCATGGAATTTAATCGGATAAAGTACTTTTGGGCATGACTAGCCACTTGAGTTGGTGTTCTAGAAATCACATAATTCCTTGAAATACTTCTCCAGTCTCCCTTTCCAAACTTATCTAAACCAAGCAAGAATAACCTGTAAACAAAAGAGTAGGAAAAGTATGATAAGCACATAGAGGAATTCAGGATTTTAAGTCTGCACCTACTACTTCTTTGTCACAATTTTGTGATAATAGGTACCAATATTACACAAATATACATTGTACATTTGCAACTAATGGTAAGACCTTATAAGCAATTATTCATAAAATAAACCATCAATTTTATCTACTCAAATCAGAAGTTAGTGCACTAGAAAAACTACTTTAAAAAAAGAAAGGGGAGATGCACATAGTATTCTGCGTTCATACAGGATTAAGGAAAAGATCGGACCCTAAGAACATGTGATGTAGGCATTCTACCTTAGTGGCTAATGCCATGGCTCGGACAGGAGACAACTTAACCACTAGAAAAACAAAATGTTTGAATTAAAGTTTAGTATTACCTATGCTCTTCTTCAGTCCAAGGTATTCCTTTTCTTCTTTCTTGTTCAGACTTGGAACTTCCTTTTCCTCCTTGGCCAATTTGGTCATGTACACTAGCTGAAAATCCATTTACATAACTACAATTGGACCGCCCGGTCGATAATCCAGAATAGCCATGGTTGCTATCTTTGGTTGATGAAGATGTTTCCTCTCCTGTGTAAATGGGAATTGGAACATTGCCAGCTTCAATGGCAGTAACATCATCCACTAACAGTTGGTAATGGTGTTTTAGTTCTTCAATGGTTTTACTTGGAACCATAGAAGCAATCTTTTGCCACTGTAATTTGGAGTCCTCAATCCAATGAATAGCAATTGCATTTTCAAAGGCTTTCTCTTCTTCTCNAGGAAAAGAGTAGAGGGCAGAGGATAGGAGGAGAGGTAGTAGGGGAAAAATAAAGGGTGTAGGATAAGAATACTGTTTCAATGTATTAATGGAAGAGGACCACTTGTGACTTGTGAGGTTGAAGTGATGGGCTGATTTGACATGTTCAATATAAAGTCATGCAACAATTTGGTATAAAAACAAAAAGATGAATATAAAGTGAAATTCCCTTTTCAATTTCCTCACCTAAGAAAAAGAATGTAAAGAAGAAAAAAGAACTACAGTATGAATAGACTAAAGTTTCGAATGGTAAAGATCTCATTTGGGTCCATTTTCAAAACCTCAAAAGTGAAAGTACACCAAGAGTTTCATCATGAAAAATGAGAAAATTGCAATAAATAATGATTAAATTGGTTCGAATTTCAACAAACACCAACGGATTCGTGTAATCCCACAACTAAAATATAAAAAAGGTAATGTGTACGCAAATTTTATCCTTATTTTGTTAAGATAGGAGCTATTTCCAACATACCCGTCAAATGGTAATAGCAATGATTGAGAGGACTTTATCTAAAATTGTCTAACATGATTTTTTGGATTACGCACCGTTAGGGAAGGCAATTAGGCTGGGTTATAAAAGATTCTATTTTAAGGACTCTTTCAAGTCGGTTAAAATTTACAATGGTAAAATTCTTCTGTAACTATATTTCTCTCGAATAACTCTTGTACTACCATATACTAAAAAGTCAGAGTCCAACAACAACAACAACCCAGTATAATCTCACTAGTGAGGTCTGTGGAGGGTAGTGTGTACGCAGACCTTATCCCTATCATGGGGTAGAGAAGCTGTTTTCGATAGAACAACAACAACCCAGTATAATCTCACTAGTGAGGTATGTGGAGGGTAGTGTGTACGCAGACCTTACCCCTACCCTGGGATATGAAGGCTGTTTTCGATAGACCCTCGGCTCCCTCCCTCCAAGAACTCCTACCTTGCTCTTGGGGTGATTCGAACTCACAACCTCTTGGTTGGAAGTGAAGGGTGCTAAACCATTAGAACAACCTACTCTTGTCAAAAAGTCGGAGTCCCCTAACAGATATTCCGAAAATTTGTGGAGAAAATAAGACTAAATCATACTTCATGTTTTAAGCATACTACAGGAAATTTTGACATCAAGCATATTCACAATATGGATAGAGTTACTTTGTTTTTTTCCTTTGTAAAGGAAGGTAAAACACAATGTTTTCTATGGGGAATCTTAGTAGTTTGATTGTTGTTACTTAAATTTTTACCTTGTTGATGAGGTTTGATTCTTGTAATCCCTTCCCATGTTTCTCCTTCCTTGGATAAAAAATGGTTCTCTATTGTTTTGGAAGTTATTAAGTTGTGTTTCTCGTTGTCTTGAACCTAAAATAAAGTAGAGTATTATAGTATGCCAACAGTTTGGTACAAAAATAATTTAAAAAGTCCTGTGATGTGTCATCTAAGAGGAATGAAATGAACATTAAATATTCACATAATCGATTTCAACAAATTTGGAATTAACACAAAATTGGTTGATTGACTAATCGACTGACGTTGTCTTGTTAGTGCACATTTTTGTATGATGGAGTAATAATTAATCGGGTACATGTGAGTTACTTTCTTGCTTTGAAATGATTATTCTTCTATGCTTTCACACATAATGGCGGGGCCAAAGTAGTGAGGCGGGGAGCACCAATGTGACCCGGCCCGACCGGAGGGTAAGGCTGCTCAAGTCATTGCCTTAGTCCTAAATTTTAGAGGCTCCAAAAATATTATACTATATTATTATGTATTATACTTTTAAGAGTCTAATTTTTAATATTTATTTATTTGGTTAAGAATGCACATATGAGTGAGTAAAGAGCGATAAATTTTTATCTTGTTAGTAGTATATTTATTTTCCTTTTCCGTTCTAATTTTTCCTCCTTTCTTTCACATGACTTTGAGATTTCTCATTTCAATTTCAAACTCTGTTTCTTTGATTTATCTACTTTCTCATGTTTAATTGACCAATTGATTAGAACATAAGATCTTTTGTGTCTCACTGTTACATGAATTTTGTGAAATAGGCCTCTTAATACAATTTGGCTTTAGGTCACCAACTTCGTTGAGCCGCCCCTGAATGTGACAATGTGCAAAAACATTAGTCACGGGGGCTAAGGGCTATCTTAAATTGTAGTCCTTCACCTTTTTCCCATTTGTTCAGTGTTTCCTTGACACTCATGTTAACATTATTTATTAAGAGTTTATTTGATTAAATTATCCTTATTAATAATCATTAAAAATCTATTTATGTACTGGTAAAATCGGGAGCAGAGTTTTCCTCGATTTTCAGATGAGGAAACAAAAGGGAAGCACGATTCGACACGACTACAAGCGAGGCCGAAGGACCCCTTGTATCGGAACCCGGGAAGAGCGAACGATGCATCTGGGATCGGACACGGTGACATAACGAACCCAGGTCAAGTAAGGTTTCTGGACCACGAGAAATGCGTAGAACGGTTATGCATGACGAGTAGATTTTTACCGGAATATCAACTACGAATCGGCATTTACCGGAAAAAGAAGATTTTTACTTTATTTAGACTTGCACTAGGACTGAAATTCTCCTACTATATAAAAAAGAGGATTTCTTTTATTTTGACAAACTGTGACACGCAAATCAAAGGAATAAAAATTTATTTTTGTCTTCTAGCTACTGTTGAAAGTGTTCTTCATTTGATCTCTTCTTTATTCGCGATTGAGCTTGTATCGAGGGTCCGATCGAGGACGAATCCCACTGTTCAACCTAAGATCAAGCTTGATCATCACATTGCGATTGGTTTGATCATTTATTTTATCTTTAACTTAATTACTTGTTGTTATTAACCATTCGTATTGAATTAAATCACATATCCTTTGAACCGCGTAAACAATTAATTATTACTCATTTTAGAGGGTAAACAGTTTGGCGCCCATCGTGGGACAAAGGATAATAGTGGTGATATGATACGAATCTCCATAACATACCCTATTTTACACTTGTTCTTTGAAGTTTTGATTCCAGGTTAGCCCAAGGATGTCAAATTTTCAGTCTATTCACTTGAACATTGATGCCGAGTCAGGCCATTATGGTGAAAATAATAATGTGATGCCTAGTAATGATGTTCCCCTTGTCGATCCCAATGGTGTCCCAGCCGCCGACTCGGTCGATGCTAACTCATAAGTGGCCATCAACATCAATCTACCGACTGATCCAGAAAACAGCATTCGCGGGGGACCCCGGCCAGCGGCTCGAGAGGCACCCAAAGGTGAAGGTGATGAGGTAAGCCTGCAGTTGATTTTCGAAATGTTGCAGGCTCAGTAAGCGGCGATAGCACAGTTACAGAACCAGAGCCACGCCCTAACAGGGTCGAACCCGAGCAGTAATGGGAAAATACTCGGAGGGATGAATAAGTTTCCATGGAACCGAGCGAATTCAAGCCCGGGGAACCTTCCGAGATAATGAAGATGCTCGAAACATTGACAAAACAGGTGGAGTCTGGCGAGAAAAAGATTTAGGTCAACGATAAGAAGGTGGAAACGTATAACTCCAGGGTCGATCAGATCCCGGGAGCACCTCCGATATTGAAGGGACCGGACTCCAAAAAGTTTAGTCAGAAGCCTTTCCCCCCGAGCGCGACACTGAAGCCGATCCTAAAGAGGTTTTGAATGCTCGACATCCCCAAGTATAATGGGACCACAGATCCAAATGAGCATGTAACCTCTTATACATGCGAAATCAAAGGGAATGATTTGGAAGACGATGAAATCGAATCGGTATTGCTGAAAAGATTTGGGGAAACCCTGTCCAAGGGAGCAATGATATGGTATCACAACTTGCCTCCGAATTCTATCAACTCGTTTGCTATACTTGCAGATGCTTTCGTAAAGGCCCATGCCGGTGCCATCTAGGTCGATACCAGGAAGTCAAACCCTTTTAAGGTCAAGAAGAAGGATAACAAGATGCTTAGGGACTGTGTGTCGAGGTTCTAGATGAAATGGATGGATCTGCCACCGATTGCGGATGATTGGGCCGTTCAGGCATTTACTCAAAGGCTTAACCCCCAAAGTTCCGTGGCCTCTCAACAGCTAAAGCAAAACTTGGTGGAGTACCCAGCAGTTACCCGAGCTGACGTTTACAACATATACCAATCGAAGATTAGGGTCGAAGACGACCAACTTGGGGCTCCTTCTGGATATGTTTACCCCATCAGAACCGATGACAAGTCTAAGAGAACTATTGATCAAGAGACGAGGTCGGTCCGAGATCGATATCAGCCGTACAACGCGGATCAAAGGGGAAACGGATTTGGGCGCCACCCGATAAGGAACGAGAAGAGAAATTATCGAGGACCAAGAGGCCGGGGGTTGATGAGCAAGAACGGGTTTGACAGGTCGCTCGGGAGTAGGGAGGTACCAAGACTATCAGAGTATAATTTCAATATGGACGCTGCAAGCATAGTGTTAGCCATAGGGCACATCAAAGGGACTAAGTGACCATTGCAATCTAACCCTGCCCAGAGAGATCCTAATTTGATGTGTAAGTACCACGGTACTCACGGTCATAGGATTGCCGACAGTTAAGAGAAGAAGTTTTTTGACTGTTCAACAATGGGCACCTTCGAGAATTCGTAAGCGAGCGAGCCAAAAACCACTTCAGCAACAGGGATGTCAACAAACAGGTCAAATAAGAGGAGCCTCAACACGTAATCAACATGATCATTGGGGGAGTTGATGTCCCCCAAGGGCCAATGATAAAACACACCAAAGTTTTTATCATCAAAGAGAAATGCACCCGGGACTACATCCCGGAAGGAGCTATCTCGTAGAGTGACAAAGATGTCGAGGGCATCGTACAGCCTCACAATGATGCACTGGTAATATATGTACTTATCAATAAATCTTGGGTTAAACGCGTTTTGATTGATCCAGGTAGCTCGGCCAACATCATCAGATCGAGAGTCGTAGAGCAACTAGTTCAAAGGATCAAATCATACCGGCGGTCCGGGTATTGAATGGATTCAACATGGCATGCGGGACCATGAAAGGTGAGATAACGTTACCAGTAAACATTGTTGGGACCACCCAAGAAACGAAGTTCTATGTGATCGAAGGGTTTATAAGGTACAACGCCTTATTCGGAAGGCCGCGGGTTCACAATATGAGAGCGGTGCCTTTGACCTTACACAAGGCGCTGAAATTTCCAACTCCGAGAGGAGTCAAAACAGTCTACGGAGAATAGCCGGCCGCATGTGAATGTTCGCTATCGATGAAGTAATCCCCGTGCCCGCGATTGCGACATCAAAAAGCTTGGAACTGACCAAAAGAGAAGAAACTAAATGGCAATCAATGATACCGGCCTCAGCCGAGCCGAGCCGAAAAAAATAGAAGGAGCACGGAGCAAATGATGAGGATGATTACAGTGTCCCGAGATCATTCATAGCACCTGATAATACTGACGCCACCAAATCGACGATCGAGGAGTTGGAGCAAGTTATATTGATCGAGCACCTACCAGATCGAAAGGTATACATGGGCACAAGTTTAACCCCCGAGATCAGGAAAAACTTATTGATTTTCTTAAAGCTAATGCCGATTGTTTTGCCTGGTCCCATCTAGACATGACAGGGTCTCCACTGTACGTAACCACTCACAAGTTGAGCTTGGATTCGAAGTTCCATCCGGTTAAGTAGAAGAGAAGGCCACAATGCGAGGTTAAACATGCATTCATCAAGGACGAGGTATCCAAACTCCTGAAAATAGGTTCCATACGGGAAGTTAAATACCCGGATTGGTTAGCTAATGTAGTGGTATTGCCTAAAAAAGGAAATAAACTGAGGATGTGTGTAGATTATAAGGATCTAAACAAGGCTTGTCCAAAGGATTCTTTTCCTTTGCCTAACATTGATCGAATAATCGATGCAACTACCGAACACGAGATACTTAGTTTTCTCGATGCCTATTCCGGGTACAACCAAATTCGGATGGACCCGGGCGATCAAGAAAAAACTTCTTTCATAACTAAATTTGGTACCTACTACTATAACGTAATGTCGTTCAGATTAAAGAATGTTGGTGCCACATACCAATGCCTAGTCAGCCGGATGTTCGAAGAACAAATAGGAAAATCAATGAAAGTTTATATTGATGATATATTAGTTAAGTCCCTGTGAGCAGAGTATTATTTGAAACATTTGCAGGAAGCCTTTGACATATTGAGAAAGTACAACCTGAAGCTAAACCCGGAGAAGTGCGCATTTAGGGTCAGCTCAGGTACGTTTCTCGGATTCATGGTATCTAATCAAGGAATAGAGATCAAACCAGACAAAATAAAGGCCATAAAGGACATCACCGTAGTCGACAACGTCAAGGCAGTACAAAGACTGACCGGCGGATAGCCGCATTGGGTCGGTTCATCTCGAGATCGTCGGATAAAAGTCATTGGTTCTTCTCACTGTTGAAAAAGAAGTACAACTTCTCTTGGACTCCGGAATGGCAACAAGCTTAGGAAGAACTCAAGTGATACCTATCGAGCCCTCCCTTGATGCACATTCAGAAAGCGGACGAACAATTGTACCTCTACTCGGCAGTTTCCGAGGTGGAGGTAAGCGGTGTCCTAGTCTGGGAAGAGGAAGGTACACAATTTCCTATTTATTATGTTAGTAGAACCGTAGGCGACGCTGAAACAAGGTATCCTCACCTAGAAAAATTAGCGATCGCCTTGCTAAGCGCTTCTAGGAAATTAAAATTATACTTCCAATGCCACCCTATATGTGTCGTGACCTCCTATCCGCTAAGAAATGTCATGCATATACCTGAGCTCTCGGGATGATTGGCCAAATGGGCCGTCGAAATTAGCGAGTATGATATCGAGTATAAACCCGGGACCGACATAAAATCTCAGATTTTGGTGGACTTTGTGGCTGACTTCACACCGACTTTGATACCCGAGGTTGAAAAGGAATTACTACTCACTTTGAGTATTATCTCGGGGATATGGACCCTATTCACGGGCGGTGCCTCCAACGCAAAAGGGTCCGGTCTCGGTATCGTATTGAAACCGCCTACGGGTGACGTAATTAGGCAGTCTATTAAAACTATGAAATTAACTAACAATGAAGCCGAGTATGAGGCTATGATTGCAGGTCTAGAACTGGCTAAGAGCTTGGGGGCCGAAGTGATCGAAGCCAAATCTGACTCCCTCCTTGTCGTAATTCAAGTCAACGGAATGTTCGAAGTAAAAGAGGAACGGATGCGGAGATACATGGACAACTTGTAGGTGACCTTACACCAATTTAAGGAATGGACTCTATAGCACATACCTCAGTATCAGAATAGCAAGGCCGATGCATTGGGGAACTTGGGATCGTCTGTCGACTCTAATGAATTCAACTTGGGGGCAGTGGTACAACTGATGAACTTAATGGTAGAAGAAGTCACACAGAGGTAAACTCGACAAGTTTGACTTGGGATTAGAGAAACAAATACATAGACTACTTGAAGACAGGAAAAGTGCCATCAGATCCCAAGGAATCAAAAGCCTTGCGCACCAAAGCTGCCAGGTTCAGCTTAGTCTAGGGGAAATTATTCAGAAGATCTTTCTTCAGCCCACTACCTAAGCGCTTGGGTACGAGAGAGATTGAATACGCTATGAGAGAGGTCAACGAGGGCACTTGCGGGAACCACTCGGGGGCAGAATCCCTGGTTCAAAAGTTAATCAGAGCCGGTTAATTACTAGAATGAAATGGAGAAAAATGCGAAAGACTTCGTATGGAAATGCAACGAGTGTCAAACACACGCCCCAATGATTCATCAACCGGGAGAGGAGCTTCACCCGGTCCTGTCTCCATGGCCATTTATGAAATGAGGGATAGATATCCTCAGTCCCCTACCATGGGTGCCCGGTAAAGCCCAATACATACTACACATGACCGATTATTTTTCCAAGTGGGTCGAAGCTCAGGCGTTCGAGGAGGTCTGGGAGAAAGAGGTCATCCACTTCATCTGGGATCACATAATATGTCGATTTGGGATACCGGCCGAGATTGTTTGCGACAATAGAAAAATATTTGTCGGCAGCAAGGTAAGTAAGTTTTTCATAGACCACAAAATCAAAAAGATATTATCAACACCTTACCACCCTAGTGGGAACGGACCAGCGGAATCGACGAACAAAACTATACTTCAAAACTTGAAAAAGACACTGACTGATTCGAAAGGAAAGTGGAAGGAAATCTTGCCCGAAGTCTTGTGGGCATACCGAACGACTTCGAAGTCGAGTACCGGAGCGACCCCATTCTCTCTATTCTACAGCGCGGAAGCCTTGATCCCGGTTGAGGTGGGGGAACTGAACCCCAGGCTCCAATATGCTACCGAAATGTCAAACGGCAAGGCCATGACCATGAGTCTGGACTTATTGGATGGAAGGTGGGAAGCCGTCGTGGTCCGGTTGGCCGCCCAAAAGCAGCGAGTAGGATGGTACTACAACGGAAGAACTAACCTTCGACATTTTCAAGTTGGGGACTTGGTGTTAAGGAAAGTAACGCTATACATCTGGAACCCAAACGACGAGAAACTAAGACCGAATTGGGAAGGACCGTATAGAGTTACCGGAATAACCGGGAAAGGTTCATATAAACCCGAGGCGGGAAACAGTGTACAACTACCGAACAACTGGAATGTGATACACTTAAAATGGTGCTACTGCTAAGGTATGAGTACATTTCCATTTTGAAATTTATTATATTACAGACTAACTTGTGCAGGTACTCAGCCGAGGGCAAATATGACTATTAGGTCTAAAAGCACATGTTGTACTCTTTTTTTCTTGAACCGGTTTTTTCTCGAAGTGGGTTTTACGGCAAGGTATTTAATGAGGCAATAGTAAAATATGCTACTTTAGTTTTGA